GCGGGACCTTTGCACTACTTATCCTTGTCGTCGCCGATCGGAATGACCACCAGCGGTAGGATCCACCACAGTTCCGTACCAAAACAAAAATAGCTGTAGCACTCGAAAAAAAAAATACTACCGGTGTCAACAAAACACAAGAGAAAGACAGCATGACACGCTAAGAATGGTTTACCCAAATGTTGGTCAGTTTATCTATTTTTGAGTTCGATTGAATTACATATATTGTTACATAATTTATTTGTTTAGCTAAACAAATTTTTGATTCAAATGAACAAAATTTTATATATTTTTTTTGGTACGATTACAATACTCTAACTGCAAAATTCAGTACCGCTCAATTGGTTCCCCTTTTTGACAGTTCAATTGGTTCCCGAAATTCTATCCGCCAGACTATGAATATAGCGACTATAGGATGGACAACTGGATGGGAAAAGGAGGGCTTTTGATATCTGGTATAGTCAACCATTGCTCAGTAGTAAACCGGCGTTCGTGCCTACAAGACTTGAGTAAATATTAAGTCAGTACTAAAGTGAACCGATCAAAGTGCCTCAAAGTGCAGTGAACGATCTTTTTCTGTTCCTGGTGTTCGTTCAGGACCTTTTTTTGCTACGCGTATCACGATCGGCTCCTACCTCACGCTTCCACGTGTCGCATGATGACAGCCAGTATATGCCCATATATGTGCTGGTAGCGGGGTGTGGGCAATGTCATCACGATTAACCCATATCGTGATGATAGCAAGGCTGAGGAGGTGCGAATCGTCGAGCGTCTGTCCACCGCTCGAACAGCGTCTGTCTGGGATCCAGCGGCTGAAAAAGAAATGCGGGTGGTTTGACGAGGGGTGCCAGCGAGTGACAGAGGAGACTAACGTCGCCAGAAGCCGGATGTTGGTGTCTGGTACCCGTCAGAACAGAGAGCGGTACAGGGTAGCAAGGTCAGCCGGGAAACGAACCCATCGCAGGAAAAAAAGGCAGTACGAGGAACGCGTTTTTGCTGAGGCGCAAGAAAGTATGGAGCAGAATGATATGCGAAGGTATGTCAATGGCGTAAGGAGTAAGACAGCGCCGTCTCCCGCCATGTGCTATGACCGTGAAGGTAATCTGCTGACAGATAAAACGATGGTGGCTGCCAGGTGGAAGGAGTACTTCGAGACGTTGCTGAACGGAGAGAACGAGAGAGCATCTACAAACAGAACACACATCGACGACGATGGTCAAGCTGTGGAACCACCAACGCTAGAAGAGGTGAAAAAGGCGATACGAGAGCTGAAAAACAGTAAGGCTGCGGGGAAGGACGAGCTCCCGGCCGAACTTCTCAAACACGGAAGTGAGCAGCTGGACCAGATGATTCACCGTATACTGCTCAAGATATGGGAGGCGGAAGAATTGCCCGCTAGTTGGTTGGATGGTCTCGTTTGTCCCCAATTCAAAAAGAGACACAGACTGGAGTGCGCCAATTACAGAGGAATCACGCTTCTGAATTCGGCGTACTAAATATTATCACATGTTCTGTTCAACAGATTGAGACCGCTTGAGGAATCCTTCGTCGGCGAATACCAGGCTGGTTTTCGTGAGGGTCGATCAATGACGGATCAAATGTTTACCCTTCGTCAAACCCTTGAGAAGTTCCGGGAATACAACTTGCAGACTCATCATCTGTTCATAGATTTCAAGGCAGCGTACGATTCAGTAAAGAGAAATGAGCTATGGCACATAATGCAAGAAAACGGTTTTCCGACGAAACTAATTAGGTTGATTCGTGCAACGCAGGATGGTTCGAAATCATGTGTACGGGTTGCAGACGAGATTTCGGTCGCATTCGTGACCTTAGATGGGTTGAAGCAGGGAGATGCTCTTTCGAACTTGCTATTCAACATCGCCCTCGAAGGAGCGATTAGGAGAGCTGGTGTGCAGAGGAACGGTACCATCATCACAAAGTCGCACATGCTCCTTGGTTTTGCGGACGACATCGACATCATCGATGGCGAAAAATTTGAAGTTGTGGACGAATTTGTTTATCTTGGTGCTTTAGTGACGTGCGATAAGGTGTATTGCAGCCGCGAACAGGGCTTTATAAGGGTTGCGTAGCCAGCTGAAGTCCTGCAGCTTGCGTACAAAAACGAAATTCGCGCTGTACAAGACGTTGATTCTGTAGCCCTTTATGGCCACGAATCGTGGGCATTGAAAGAGGCCGATCGGAGAGCTTTCGGTGTCTTCGAGCGTAAAGTGCTGCGAACAATACTCAGCGGTAAACTGGAAAATGGCATCTGGCGGCGTCGCATGAATCACGAGTTGTACCAAGTATATAACGGCATGGATATTGTGAAGCTTATAAAACACGACAGGCTACAGTGGGCTGGGCATGTGGTACGAATGCCGGAAGAGCGTCAAGCGAAGTCCATATTCAGCAGGGAACCCGGAAGAGATACTTTTCAAAATGAATTTGTTATTACAGATTAAATCGTATATGATGTTAAATCAACTCGTTTAAAATTAAATTAAAATATGCACGTATATGGCCTCCACTTTTGTACGAATAAGCCATTTCTTTGCATTCTATACGAATTGTTTGTTTGTATATATGTTTGTATATCCCGAAAACAACTTTAAATATACGTGCATTCTGGTTGTCTGGGTTGAACGTCCAAGGCGACTGGAAGCGATTGGCTCAGGACCGAGACCAGTGGAGACGGTTACTTCGTTCGGCGCAGATTTGAATTCAACGAGTCGTCGCCCATCAAGTACTCAGGTAGGTATCACGATCGGCACGTTTCGACCAAGTCAGTCTCGGTCAGCCTTGGTCCTTCATCTTTCCGGCTTGATACTCGTCAGAAAGGAAAGCCTCCTCGGACTCGGAAGTCCTAATCGATAAGGAGGAAGACCCTTCTCGGCTCGACCAAGGTGGTCTTGTCACGGTCAGCCGATATTCGCCGAAATACGATAAAAATCATTGCATCGTTTGCATGGCCAACTCATATCATTCTCTGCGGTATTCGCTGCGCAGGATGATAGGAAAAGCAACTAACATTGGATGTAATGCATTTTTGGTTTGCGTTTGCGTGTAGATGAAGATAAAGCCAATATATATTTAAGCTGTATTTGATTCATCGATAAGTGCAGCCGGTTGAAGCGATGAATTTGGATGAATTTTTCCCTTTAGTACGTCAGAATTCTCTTCTAAGTTGGCACATTACATTACTCCAACTGTTTTTCAAGAGCGTGGTTCAAAGGTCTGGATGTAAGTCGGGGATTCATTCGCGTGATGTCAAGACTTATGTCCAACCACTACTCGCTAGACACACATCTCTACAGAATACACCTCGTTGACAGCAATATATGTGGGTGCAGAACCGGTTATGATGACACCGACCACGCGGTTTGGCATTTCCCGGGTAATGACGCTTCCAGAGCACGACTATTGGATACCCTAATGGCTCAAGGTAAGAGATGTATTGGGAACCCGTGATCTTCCCTACAAACAGGCGATCTACGAATTTCTTTGTTTGTCTGATGTTAGAGTTTGATATGACCATCCGCTCATTTCCAAACAATTTCCAGTCTTATCCTGTTTCTGTGCTATTTGCTCCTGCCCAGCCATCATTTGATCAACCGTTCGATAGTAGTATCTGAAGGAGACTTCAGAAACCTGTTTTCTACCTAACTCCTTCCAATTGAAATTGTTACCCATTAACCTCGAGCCCGCCACGAGTAATTGGTTCCCAATACTGACCTAGATTTATTGCTCTTTAAAATGTGAAATCAAAATTACGTATTTTTGGCCCGCAATGTGTCACACACGACTGAGCCTAGTAAATAAACAAACTAGTTACACATATAAATATTTGGGATAAATTGGTGATACATTGGAACAAATTATACGGAATAAATAAAGTGCTCAAAGTAGCACGTAAATATTAACGTAGTCTTTAAGTATCGTTGAGAATCATTACACATAATATTATGCTACAAAATAGACGTAATATTAAAAAAATGTACAGTTTAACGAACCACCCAGTTTTCGATGCATTAAGGACTAGGGCAATTTTTTTTATTTTAATACAGCAGCTTTAACACAATTAAGGTCATTCGTGACTTTACCGGGGTAGAGCTTTGACTCGTGACCTTCAGCATAAGAGGCATGGATACTAACCACTGCATCAGGTCCATACAGGCGGGCAAAATACGCAGGTCACTGCATTGAAACAAATCAGCAGCCAAAACTGAAATTACGAAGAATGAGGGTACACGTGCCATCAGAAAACGTAGTTTGTTAATCCAAAGCGTATTAGCATAAGATTGAATTGATTGACTCCCAAAATGTACTTTATTTGCGATTTTTGTAGATGTATTTTTTTTTCAATTGCTTGCTGTCTAAAGAAACCTCGTTTCCATCATCAAAGAAAAACTGCTTGTCAGAACAAAATGCCTGGTTCAATGTCCCATTGCCAATGCAATTTCTTTATTCCTTGATAATTCATCATCATAATGTTGGTGGAGAGCTGTTACGCTCCAATCACGGTTTCTAGTGAATACGACATCAGTGAATATCAATCACACAAGTTCATTAATGAAACATTCTCTTTTTCCCAAAGATAACGAGAGATTTTCTCCCCACATCAGAATGGAGGAGCAAATCTCTTTCAAAATATTTGCCCATTTCCCGTGCCGTCTACCTTCACAGAATCAAAACAAACTTTCCACGGGAGTGGATTTCCCCTCGATTGGAGAACGGGAGACGTTCGTCTCTCGTATCCTTTTCCCGAGCGAGATACATCCTAGCTTCTCACAGCATCCCTGTTCGCATCTGTTTCGTGTTGGAGTTCATCCTGACCGTTCGTGTGTCCTAGTTTATGCTGAGACGATGGCTATAAAAGAATCTGTTCGGATACAGATCCACTCATTTCCAAACGGACATTACTCGAGACCAATTGTAGTATTCTCAAAAAATCGGAGAGTGGTTCTTAGGACACAAACAAGAATAACAAAACAATCAAGTTGTCTGCAGTGTAAATGCTATTTGCGCTCAAAGTTCAATTGAAATGTTGACCTGTCAAAAAATGGATAATAACAACCTGTCCCCGAACACTGGGATTACCGCCGGGACAGGCATCAACAACAACAACAGCCGCGAGAATATCTACATCGATATTCCGACGCCTTCGACGAGAAGTGTTTCACCGCTGTCGTCGGCCTCACCAGGAAAGGACAAATCCTTTGGATTTTTCCACAACATCTACCGGAAGATAAGTTTGAAATCTAACGAAGAAATCAGTATCGGTAATCACGAAGATGACTCCCGCAGTTCCTCGGTTGAATCATGTTCCTCGCTCAGTGATCGGCTACGGGCACCGTCGAAACGAAGATCAAGTCCGTGCGTCAAACTAGTGGATCAAATATCTTCGCTAGAGACGTCCGGAACGTCTAGTGACTCGGTGAACAATTCGGACAAATCCGGACGTACATCAAGACGCTCGTCGGTTCGCAAACTGCTGGAGAGTCTATCGATTTCAACACCGGCCCGTGCTCGGTCGCTATCCTGCAGCAGTACCTCGGTGAACTTCCTCAGTCAGAAAAGCCTTAAGCTGAAGGCCGAATCAAAAGCGTCCCTATTCAGCTCAACCAGTGCTTCGGCCACAACGACCAATGCCAATGCTAGCAGTAAGCCTCCGCCAAAGAAGATTCTTCGCCGCCCGGTTTCCTACACCTACATCCGGGGTATCTCCGGACTGCCAACGCAACGTGTTCCCAGATCATCGATCTGCTGTAGCTACTACTCGCGCTAAGAGGAGAGCCCCGTTGGCTCCCATACCCCAAAAGCTAGGATGTCGCCATATCAACACTTCTATGGACCTACAATATACTTATTCCTCGGATGAAGAACCAGAAAAGCAGAACGAACTCTTTGCGACTGAATTGTGCGTGTGCGATGTGTGAACTGATGTTAGAACTAGACGAGGACAACTCAATTGGCATTCGGTACCTTGCAAATTTTCGACGAACGCTAATTTTTACGCCACTGAAGATTGGACTGTTAGTTGTGTTAAGTAGTATGTAAAGTCAACCGAAAAAATCGAGTTAAGTGATGAACTGATATGGACATGCCTGGACGATTAAAGTGCAATTATTCTAAAACAAACTCTTCATTAAGGAATACACAAAATTGACCAATTTGATTAAAATGATACGGAATCAAGTGGATACCCTTATTTGGACACTAAGTGATTTATAAGCTTACTGCTAGAATTAATATTATTGATAAACGAAGTGAGTGAAGCGGTGGAGAGTGTACATTTGATAGAAACGTTCGAGCTATTCTGATGCTGAAATGGATGATGGAGATATAATGGGCGGGGCAGACGAACAGCTGATGAAAACACCAACATATTCTAAACTTGCGTTTAATGGATTACTACAAGATTAGCCGTAGTGATTATTGTACTCGTTTCAATTCAATGGTTGTTTTACTTAGTGTGGTTTCTACTTTTCTTGCCGTTATTGTCATGTAAAATAATAATGATTGACTTATCAAAACGCAAAAGTTCGAATAGCTCTCGTTTCTTGTAGATTATTTAAATATTTGAATAAAATCAAAGCCAAGTTGTTATTAATCAAATGAAATATTAAAAACATATCAATCAATTATCCGAAAAAGCCTTTTTTTGTTTAATCCCGTTTTTGTTAAGACTACTACACGCCACGCATAATAGGCCTATATGACTCCCGGACTTTTCACTTAAAGCGTAAGCCCCATCGAGGATAATACGCGATGTAATCTAGATTCAAAAAATCTACATTGTTTTTTAATACCCCATTCGATAAGCATCAAGAGAGGATTAAACATCGAAAGCGCGCAGCCATTCTCTAGCGCCTAGTAGAGAGTGTCTAAACAATACTGGCTCGCAAATCGTATGCCACCCACGCAAACCAATGTAGAGAAACTTGCCCCTTTATGATGATGCTGTTGGTTTTTGTGGGCGGCCTACGCTTTGCGAGGAAAGGACTTGCAAAGTTTTGTTTACAAAATCTGATAGTCCCTTTTCAATTGTTGGACCAGGAAAGAGTCGCTTCGATTTTGGTGAAGGTGAATCGTCTTAAAGTCTTTTTCTGATGTAAATCATTATCACTTTGAATCTTCCCGAGCACAAACATTAGCCACCAGAGAACATAAAATTGTGAAATATGCATCTCAACCTTTGCTGCAGTATAGTAAACATGTTAAAGCAAATTTCAAGCACAAAGTCACAATGGTGTCCGTGATTTGTACCCATGTGTAGACTCTGTATCGTATCACTGGAAAAACAGCTCAACGACTGCTATACAATGTTCAATCAAAATAAAACCCGCATCTTCGGAAGATCTCTGAACTTACCATTGGAAGTTCTCTGAACATCTCATTGGAAGTTCGTTGAACGTCTCGTCGGAAGTTCTCTGATCTTTTCCTCGGAACTTCTTTGAACTTTTCGTTGGAAGTTCACTGATCTTCTTCTTGACAGTTCTCTGAATTCGTCGGAAGTTGTCTGAATTTTTGAACGGAAGCTCTGTGATGCTTACCTCGGAAGTTCTCGGAACTTCTTGCCGGAAGGTATCTGAACTTTCAGTCGGAATGTCTCTGAACTTATCCTCGGAAACTCTTTGAACTTCTCTTCAGAATTTTTTGTCATAAGTCTGTGAACTTCTCGTCACAAGTTCTCTGAATTTTACGTGGGAAGTTCTCTGAACCTATACAATTGCTCTGAACTTTTTGTCGAAAATTCTCCAAACTTCTAGTCTGAAGTTCTAAGATTTCTCATCTGGAAATTTCTGAACCTATTCTATGAAGAACTTTGAACATCTCGTCGGTCTCGGAAGTTCTTGTCGTAAGTTCGCTGATCTTCTAGTCGGAAGTTCTAAGATTTTATATTGGGATGTTCTCTGAACTTCTTCTAGCAAGTTCTCTGAACTTTAGGAAACTTTCGAGAAGATCACGGAACTTCCGACAAGTTCGCGGAACTTCGGACAAGTTCACGGAACTTCAGAAAACTTGCGACGAAAAGTTCAAAGAATGTCCAAGGAGACGTTCAGAGAACTTCCGACTAGATGTTCAGATACCTTCTCTGAGATTCTTTTCGGAAGTTCTCTGAATTTCCTTTCGGAACTTCCCTTCGGAAGTTCTCTAAACTTCTACTCCGAAGGTCTCTGAACTTCTCATCAGAGGATGTCTAAACCTCTACTTGGAAATTATTTGAACTATTTGTCGAAAGATCTCTGAATTTCGTTTCGGAAGTGCGTAAAATGTCTTGCCAGAAGCTCTCAAAACTTGCCATCGGAAGTTTTTCTGAACACCTCATTGGAAGTTCTCTGAACTTATTTTCAGCAGTTCTCAGCAATTCTGCTCGGAAGTTTTCTGAACATCTTGTTGAAAGTTCTCTGAACTTTTCGTCAGTAGTTCTCTGAACCAGAACGTTGGAATTTCTCAAAACTTCTCATCCGAAGTTTTTTGAACTTCATGTCGAAAGTTTTCAGAACTTCTTCTCGGAATTTCTCTGAATTCTTGACGGATGTTCTCTAAACTTTCCTCAGAAATTCCCTGAATTTCTCGTCGAAATTTCTCAGAAGTTGTCCTCGAAATTTGTCAGATGTTCTCTGAACTTATCGGAAGTTCTCTGAGCTGCTCTTCTTGCAAGAATTCACTGATTTTCCGACAAGTTTTCGAAAATTCCGACAAGTTTACGGAACTTCCGACAAGTAAACAAAACGCCGACATGTTTACAAAAGTTCAGAGCAGTTCACAGGGAAGTTCACAAACATTGAAAGAGGTTCAAAAGGAACTTTAAAGAATCTCACGGATCTTTAAAGAAGCTCACGGTTCTTCAGAGACGTTAACGAAATTTCAGTGAAGCTCACAGAATGTCAGAGAACTTTCGAAAAGCTAACGAAACTTTCAAGAATCTGACGGATCCGTCGAGAAGCTCTCAACTTCCGGGAAGTTCATGGAACTTTCCAGAAATTTTATTCTAGAGAACCCTAAAACATTTTTTGGGAAGTTTCAAGTGAACTTGTGGGCAGTTCCAAGGAAACTTCTTTGAAGTTCCTCGTAAAATGCTGGGAAGTTTTCAGCAGTTTTCTCAGAAACTGTTGGAATTTTTTAGCAGTTCCCTCAGAACTTCCTTGAAGCACCTTTGAAAATTCGTTGAAGTTTCCTCGCAACACCTCTGAATTCCTCTCGGATGTCTGTGAAGTTCCCTAGCAGTTTTCTGAAAGCTGACAGAGAAAGTGCTTCCGGAACTTATCTTAAGTCCTTCCGGAGCATTCCTAACATTTCCTCAGAACTTTCCTCAAGTTCATCTAGAACTGAAGTTCACCCAAAATGAATCATATCGTCCGGCCATTTTCCACAGAGATGGCACTGATCCGCTGGTAGGACGTGATGAAAATCCCCATATAGAAATGAAGAGAAGTGGGAATAATTCGCTTTTGGTGCATATTCAGGTAAAAAAAGTGAACGACAACCTAAAGAAATTAGCCAGGGACTTAGCCGTTCAGTTTTTTTTCCCGGAAATTATTGTTCAACAAGCTACAATTAAATAAAAATGATTCTGCCCCATACAGTTTTACCTGGTTTACTAACAGTGCCCAGAGAGCCAAAAAAAATCAAATTTGAAAGAGAAAATTTGCTCTTCCGACCTCAATCTCTCAATATGCCATGTATATTGATGACTCTCGATTTGTGATTTCCCTTTCCGAGATTACAAAATAGAGTATGCATTTAGTTTAACATTTGAAGTCCCTCTTATTTTTCATATTCTGCACAAAAGATTCTTTGTGCCCCGCCCCATTCATAAAATTCGGCGGGAAATTCTGTGAGCGGTGAGCTATTTTGTGTGCAGAATGTGTAAAAATGGAGGGACTTCGAATATTAATCTAAAGCATATATAAGAGGTACCAGACATGTTTTGCACTGCAGTGTCCTCTGTAAACAATTAACGGAAAACAGATTGTGTGTAGTTACCGATAGATATCACCGCAAACAACAGCAGTGACATCTGATGGAACATGAATGCAGAAGCTTGACAAAATGATTAATTTCCCTCTGAACTTCTCTCAAAATTTGGATCACCTACAATGGATATGTGAAAATGCAGAAGTTTTGACAGAACTATGCTGTGGCTACCACAGTATTTTACATTTGATCGTACATATACAGTAGCACCAAAAGCATGCTATGGTGGGTTAAAAACTTGACCATCTAAATTGATCAATTATGGATCACCTCCATTTGATTAATGCGCTAAATTCATAATTGTTTTTAGCTGATCAATAATTGTGGGGTCAGTGTACCTAAAGTTCCCTCTGAAGCTATCTTCGTGAAACACGTTTGAAATGTTCTCGCTTCATCGAAATTATTCATGCATGATTGTAGCATGATAGTGGTTTACCACCCATTGTAGCACGGAAACTAAGTCCGACAGCAGTGGGCTCCCTTCTCTGTTTGTCTTGATCAAGCTTAATAACCTCTGATTGTCCTCAACATGTCGCTGTATGAAAGGCCAAAAACGGATTGGGTAGATCGATAGGAAAAGTCACCTATACGCATCTACGGAACAATAAAGAGTCTCCTTTATACGGAACTATAAAGAATCCGCTTCATCGGAATTATTCATAATCACAAACCCCTCTCCCCCCCTAAATGTGGATGACAGGAATCTCTTGAACAGAGTTTGCAATCAATGACCAAGATTGCTGAAGAGAGCGATATTCTAATTAGTTCAAATGTCAAATAAAAGCAAAAAATATAAACAAATGTAAGGTCCATTAATCATCTTAAAAATTTTGCCGAAAACAGAAACCTTCTATCAAGGCAAGCTGTCAAGTGAAACCAAAACACTCGAAACAATGTGAAGCAACAGTGAGAACTGATGAGTAAATTCTGTTGCAAAACTATTCACCTATATAATAGCGAGTATAATAGGTCTAGTCTATACGACCAACTTCATCGAAGACAGAAAACTTCTATCTAGTCAAGATGTTAAGTTAGGGTAAACAATTAAAAATGAATGTTACTCGAGCGCCAACTGGCAAGTGAATTCTACACACTAAGATTGTTTTGCCGAGATAGGCATCACCGAGCAATTCAGCATTTTATTTTGCTGGATCTCAGTGAAAAACTTGCCGAGATTCAACAAAATTTATGTTTGTTAGCTGAGATTTCGGCAAGATTCCGGTTTGTTAGCTGAATCTCAGCAAGTTTTTCACTGAGATCCAGCAAAATAAAATGTCGAGCTGCTCGGTGGTGCGAATCTCTGCAAAATAAATCTAAGTGTGATATGCTGAACTGTTACCACAAAATAGGTCTTATCCATCTGAACAGCTTTGCTGAAGACGGAAACCATCTATCTAGTCCACCTGAGGGCAAATAATTCAAAATAAATTTCACACTAGCGCTGCCTGGTGAGTAAATTATGATCAGAACTCTTTATCATAGGATAGGCCTTGTCCATCCAGCAAACAACATTGCCTAAGACGGAAATCTTCTTTCTAGTCCATATGTTATAGTTAGGGCAATCAATGAAACATC